GAGCTGTATCTAAAGCTGTTGCTATATTTTGTTTGCTAAACAATTTTAATTTACAAGCCGAAAATATATGCTCCTTAGATTTAAAATGTCTTTCTGTAGAACGAGGTAAATTTTATAAATCGGAGTACCTATCCTATTTTAGACCACGTTTGGTATTCGGTTTGTACGGAAAATAAAACACAGGGCCAACAAAAAAAATTTTTCTCGTTTAATGGAGCTGGTTAACCAATCGCATTTATCGTACCAACTAATATTAAATCCTCGATTTTGTCGATTATCTGACGCTTTAATTGAAATCAAATTTGGTTGAGACCTTCCCAGAGTTTCAATAATGTAAAATGTATTATCATAAGATAAAGACTTGAAATTATTTGTCAGCAACCAGTCGACTATATCGTCAGATTTTTTAATTTCGTTCAACTTATCCATAATAAATGGAAAAAACTTACCGAAAAGTGAAAACCTGAAAACTCCTTGAAATAGAAAGAAAACACTTTAAAAACACATTAAAAATATTACCAAAAAGCACTGCTACTGCCTGTTTTATACTCAAATAACAAATATTATCAAGAAACACTAAAACGATTTACCGAATAGTGACTGGTCAGTCACGGTATCCCGTCCGAATAATTGAATAAAAAACAAACGCAGTCATACACTAACGGAGACCAACTGGAGGATAGCCTCCTCTAAACGCTATAATTTCTGCAACTGAAATTACAAATTGGGACGTATGTCTCTGGTTGGATTGGTCTCGCGAAGCTTGTGTTTTTTAAAGCGGTAGGAGGCTTGGCTCCCTTGCAACGTATGGCATTTATTATTTCGGGTTGATGATTTATTCGTTATTCGTTCATGGGCGGTGCGTTTGAGGTTTGTTGGTGCATAATAAAGTGTGGATCGTACTACGTAGTGAGTGATAGTGTTTTTTCGGGCATATTATGTATTTATATTGAAAATTAATGGTAAAGTAATGATACCCAAGCATTTAAATGAAAATAATCATAATTATTTGTCAATATATTTTAATTTAGTGCGATGAATAGCCTCAAATTTTATTGGGAGGCTAAGCCTCCCTTGCCTCCTCTGACCAGTGGCCGCTGTTTCCATAATCATTTGATTTTCCTGTAATCGGGTCAATGTTGTCATGATATAGGCTGAATACTAATACTACATTCTTATTGGGTTTGTAGGAAACCAGCGTTACATGTTCACGAAAAGCAGGTCGCGTTGTAACTCTCTTTTATTCTTACGGATTGTACCCAGCAATGTTAGTTTCATAGAGCGGAGCGACTAATAACGGTATACTGGTAAACCAGTTGTCGGTCGTAGTATTCCGTCCAGAGCTGCTTCTAATCAAGACCATTCTACTTCCCATCATCGTGTATGCGTCCGTTGCCTGAAGTCGGTGCGTGGAAACATATGAACTCCAGATCCATAGGTTTATAAATGTTAGCTCCAAGTATGTGGATATCATCTCACAAAATCACACCAAAGCCATCTTCAAACCAATCCGGATGCTGTCGAACCGCGCTACGAGATTCCCAGGTGCCACTTAACCGGAACAACAACCTAGATTTCGAGAGTGGGTCAAACACAGGCCGACAAAACCTGTCGCTGTCACACATACACACACTCTTTGCCCGCGACAAACTCCCGCCAATCACAAAGAACCATCATGCACACAGTAACCCATACGAGTAAAATCACCATAGTCTGACTTCAAATCGAAAGATCTTGAACTTTACTCTCGCTGAAGTGCCCGGCAACATGTTGACGATCGCCAGGAATCCAAAGGGGTGGTGATATAGAAATTTTTGCTTGTGCACATAATTAGCTGTGGATAGTGAACCATGTCTTCATGAAGAATTTTGGCTTCTCAACAGGCCCAACAGGCACATTAACAAAGTCACGGACTGCATCACAACACTGTTCCAACGTCACAACATCAATCCAATCAACTACACTCTACAAAAAAAGGGTCTGACATCTGCCGCGATCTATAGCATTCCCTGTTCCTGTAGCTCAGTTTGCATCGGAATTACCAAACGTAACATCAACACCAGGTTACAAGAACACAAGAGTAGCTGGCGTCTCATACAACCGGAGAAATTCCGCAATTGTAGAACATGTCCCTGTAGAAAAAAAACATTTTATAAAATACGAAAAAACTACTCCCCTATTTAATTAAACGCTTTACCACACATGACTTAATAGGGAGGCCATTGAGCCATTTAAGCATCTCAAAGAAGGTATATGTGTCGATAGAAGCCAGGCTCTAAAATACAACTCCGATCGACAATCCAGCAGTAGCATACCTGTCAACAACGAAAGCCAATCAGAACAATCTGTGTACCAATCAGAACGACCCGTGCGAACCAATCAGGAGTGAGTCCCACCTACATCCCCACCAACCTCTGAAATATAAATACAAGTTTACATGTAGCTCGCTAGTCAGTCGTTGCTGAGATGTAACCTTCGTCTGCAGATATATCCTTTGTCCATCTTATTCTGCATTAAAATTTCTCTGTAACAGCAGGCGGCGAGATTATTGTAGGCCTTTGTTCCTCACAAACAAAATGTTGTGACTGTATGATATATTCATTTTACAGTTTGTTTAGTTCATAACAAAACAGAACTTTCCTCAATTGTCTTTCATCATTGTCTACCTGTAAGGCGTTATAAAATGTACCGACTTTCGAAAATCAACTGAAGATTTTTTTATTAAGAGGCCCTATTAACCGGTAATTTTTTTCATTTAATGTCGCTCAGCTGCCGATGACCACTAGGACCACGTAACTGGTGCGTCACAAGGGGGCTCAGGGTGAAGCCCTAAGGTCAGAGCGGCTAGGCAAAGTTCCAAGGAAGCTAACGCTCTTTGAATCCCTCCGATAATCATTCCATTCTTCTTTGCATCAAATATGTCACACGTTTCTTTCTCCCACTCACTAAATTTTTTTCTCTGAAACACTTCCACTGAACACTTCTGAAACACTTTCACTCTTCCACTGTTCGTCATCACCCATCTGACCAATGAGAAGCTACCGCGCGTACAGCGAGAAATTCAAATCAGTAGGGGAACAAAGCGAGTTCGAGACCACTTCACGGTTGGGCGTCTTTGGTAAGTATTTCAGAGGGACTTTAGTGAGTAGGAGAGTAGCGCGAATCAATACAGAGAAGGATGAAATGAGTATCAGAGAGATTCAAAGAGCGTGGGCCCCCTTGGGGCTCAGCCTCATTCCTCGAGCCTCCTTAGGACTTCACTCCTGAGCTCCCTTGTCACGCACCAGTCACGTGCTCCCAGTGGTCATCGGCAGCTGCGAGAAATTGAATTTTTGAAAAAATCTGTTTAAAATCTGTTTTCCGTTAAGCAGCTGTCGCTCCCCTACGAACGACAACTCTCAAAAGTCGAAACCTGTGCGACCTAAGGACTAACGAGGTCTTACCTTTCAACTTGTGGTTCCTAACATAAGATCGATGAGAATTGAACCTTCTTGGGTGTGGTAGGCTTTGTCCTTAACCTCGACATTGACGTAAGATGTTCAAAATGAATGTGAACTAATGATAGTGATGGCGGTTGTTTTGTCGGCTGTCATCGGCGATGCAGACTGATGAATAAAAATAGGAGGGAATGAGTATCAAAAAGATTCAAAGATAAGAGCGTGGTTGACTTATAAAAATAATAAATGTAAATGAAAACATTGGAAGCGTGAAAGTGATATATAAATAAAGTCAATTTGAAAACATCCCACACTTAATACTTTCCTTCCAGTAAACAATATAAGGAATCGAAAAAACAGGGTAATTTGTATCTGTAGCCCTCGTGGTTCAACTCACTAGGAATGGTAGATGTTACCCTCAAAATTTTAAATTGGAACGGGGGGTCAAAGTGGTACATCATTTTAATTGGCATTCAATATCTCTTCCAATGGTACCCTGACTTACTATTTTTTTATGAGCATTTTCCGAAAAATAACGTGCTAAGCTAACAGAACTAAATATTAGCACGCCTATACTGAGATGCATGGTTTGACCAGAACTGGTAAGAATATTAGATGGTACCTTTCCAACCCTTTATTAGGAGTAACATTGGTCATTAGCTCCAATTAATTCACATCAAAAAGTAGTCCAATAGTAAAACGTAGATGGCAGTAAAGTTGCATCTAGTGTATGCTGAATTTTTAATTCTCATCGCAGAAAGTGTACTGATAACCGTCCTTTTTTGCTACTTCTGCTGTGAAAAGTTTCTCTTTTCAGACAATGAATTGGTTCGCAAATTTGAACGATGTGGTAGTATTGTGCATACAGTTGTACCTGTTTAGCTGTGAACAAAAGTGTAAAAATGGTTTACATTCTTCGAAACAGAATTGAAATGATTGTAATTTATGGAGAAGTTGGAAAGTGCGCACAAAAGGCGGCATGTCTTTTTAATGAAAGACATCAAAATATTATAATTTGAGTCACCGGTATGTGCTTCGTTTGGTGAATAAGTTTTACAAAACTGGTTCAGTGACAAATAAAAACAGAAATAACCCCAGAGTACTAAATGAAGCATGATAAATTAAAGATTTGGGAACATATACTGCAGAGCCCACGGTTCAAATGCAAATTCTTCAAGAGCTCCACGAAGATGATAAGAATAGAAGAATAGAGTTTTGTGAAATCATGTCTCATCGAGTCAATATCATCCCTAATCTTCTGTTAAACATCTGTTTCAGCGTTCATTTTTTTCTGAATGGCAATGTTAATAGACAAAATTGTCGACATCTATTACCTAGAGTCATGCACATTCAGCCAAAAAGCTGTCTTTGATGAACAGGTACTGATCCTTAGACAAATACTGTACTGTATATCCCCATTTATTCGACCCAATCAAATAAATACAGGGTGATTGTTACCAAAATTACTGTTGCTGGATATAATATAAGGATCTGAGTTATTTTATATTTGTGTGATGGAGGAAATGAATATTTTCCTAATATCTATGGAAAAAACAACAAAGACAACGTAAAGAGCAATTTAATGGTACCTGATGAAAAAATAATAAAAGTCCCTCCAACAAAAGTTCCTCCTATATTCAACAATTCAAGACTCAGAGTCTTATGAAATAATGAATAATAAAACTCTTACAGAAAATAGTACATTCGCAATGTTTATTGTTTATATCACACTTGATGAAAATTATGAAATGCCTAGTTAAAATACTTTACATTACGACTACAGAGGGAAACAAGCAAAACAGTACCTAAACTTGTGGAGGTTGTGTAGTGACTGGATTCTCCCTACATTTCTCTTTATTCCATTCCTTCAAACCTTCAGGCAGCGTCGTATCCTCTTCGAAAGAACCAGTTCCTTCAACAAACTCCTCGTAGGTCGACTTCTCAGGGAATGGTCTCTTTCCCAACAATTCGATCATGTCATCTCTACTGATAATTTCTTGCTTCAACAACCTCTCCGCTACCTTAGCGACTAGATCTTTACGCTCTGTGAGCAACTGCGTTGTCCGTTTGTGCGCATTATCAATTAATTTCCTAACCTCAACGTCGATCAACTGAGCTGTGCTTTCTGAATAAGGTTTCTCCAGCATCATCTCTCCTTCGCGAGGCATATCAAAACTCACATTGCCAACCTTCGCGTTCATACCGTAATGTACTACTTGCGCATACGCGCTCTGCGTCACCTTCTTCAAATCATCCTGAGCGCCTGTTGTTATCCTTCCAAAGAAAAGCTCCTCCGACACTCTACCTCCTAGAGTCATGCACATTCGGTCGAACAGTTGCTCTTTAGTATACAAATACTGATCCTTAGGCAAGTACTGTGCGTAGCCCAACCCTTTCCCTCTTGGTATGATCGACACCTTGAGAAGTGGATCGGCATGCTGTAAAAACCACCCAGCAACTGCGTGTCCAGCTTCGTGGTAGGCTACTGTCTTTTTTTCCTCGGGCGACAAAACGTTCGTTTTCTTCTCCATTCCTGCTACAACTCGTTCAATGGCTTGTTCGAAGTGCTTCATAGTAATCGAATCGTTCAAATCTCGGGCGGCTATGAGCGCAGCTTCGTTGCAAACGTTAGCGATATCAGCGCCAGTGAAGCCAGGCGTTAAAGCCGCCATCTTCCTAGCCAAATCGGTTTTGTCGAGGAGCGTCTTCAGTGGTCCCAGATGTACCTTGAAAATACTAGCTCTGCCTTTGATATCGGGAGCTGGCACGAATATTTGTCTGTCGAATCGCCCAGGTCGAAGCAAAGCTTTGTCTAAGATATCTACTCTGTTTGTAGCGGCTAGAACTACGACATTAGTTGTGGTATTGAACCCATCCATCTCGACCAGAAGCTGGTTGAGTGTGTTTTCCTGTTCGGAATGACCTCCAAAACTTCTACCGCCTCTTTTCCGGCCAACTGCATCGATTTCATCTATGAATAGTATGCAAGGGGCATGTTTTCTAGCCATGGAAAAGAGGTCTCTCACTCTGGACGGACCAACACCGACGAACATTTCGAGAAATTCCGAACCGGATACTGTGATGAAAGGCACGTTGGCTTCCCCAGCGGTCGCCTTGGCTAGTAGAGTTTTACCAGTACCAGGAGGTCCTACAAGAAAGAGTTTTGTAAATACCAAATGTTTTGATTTCACATATTGTTATCAACAGAATAAAATCGCCTTTCTCTCTGTCTCTATCTCTCTCTCTTTCTCTGGGCACTGATACGAGAATAAATTATTATAGTTATTCAACAATATTATGAATGGGGTAATATAAGCATGGAATGGATAAGGGCTTGATTGTGAACAGTGACTTGGCAATGACAAAGGAATAGTAATTTGCCTTTCTCAGGAGAAAAATAGTAAACATAGTTTCAGCCGAATTTCAACTATATGAGAATCTAAAAAACAAGCACTTTTCCCAATTACCAGAACTGCAATAATCTTCTAGACACCCGTTTCACCAACCACGTTGGCCTCTTCAGGAGATGAAGTGGGTTGTCCCCACTCTTATGGAACCTTGTAATGGACGAGTTACAACGCCTTCTACACCATAATGGGCACAAAGTACTGATTTATGTAGACAACTTAGTCATCCTAGTCCAGGGCAAATATAATATATAATAGTGAAGGGACGCACGCAGCATATTATAAGTAAATGGACCGAGAAGGGCTAAACATAAGCCAAACGAAATTAATCATACTAGCATTCACCAAGAGGACCATAACAGAGGGTCTAGGACCTCTGAAACTTTAACGTGAAAAGATAAATCTGTCGGGTGAGGTCAAATATCTAAAAGTCATACAAGATCCCAGGTTGACCTGGATCCAACGTCTAGAAACAGTAAAAAGAAAGGCGGATGCTGTCCAAACGCACCTACAGAAAGAAATGAAAACATAAACCTATCATGATGTAATGGCTCTACATCATGGTGGTTAAACCCATGATAACATACGCATGGAAATAACGGGTGGAATTAAAACCATTTCTACAGCTGCGTTACAGACTTTTATTGGCCAAATCCTTTGTGAAATGAAAATTTCATAGATCTTTGTTTAATGGTAGTTCAATTAATAACAAATTTTCCCGGGTACATCTAGTGGAGAATAGTTAAACTTGTTATTTTGCAGAATCTAGAATACAGGCAATATTGCATATTCCAGCTTTCTTGATAAGTAGTCAATTCGAAATTGATCCTTATTCTACTCATTTGTATTAGACTTTTTTTTTATTGGCATAACTGTTGTCAGAGCCAGGATGAGATCAGATTGGAGGTTCATATATGAGAACGAACTTTAGCAAATTTACCAGAGTTAGTGGCAAAAATAGAATTAAAATAAAACATGATGTATCTCCCCCAATTCAAAATTGTGCGAGAAATTGTGTGCGAGAAAAAAAATGGAACCTAATACAATGGCACCAGTACGATTCATCTTACCAACATATAAAAAGGCTTAGGTTCTTTCTATTATAATTCAACTTGTTTCAGTTATTATCTACTTCAAATTCTATAATTTATATCTGATAATATCCTTATAGGACGAAAATGCAGTAACGTTAGTTACAAATAAAATGATAAAAACATAGAAAATTAGAAAGTTTCATTTCTCATTTTTCATGATGATGTCCTGCCACGTAGTAACGGCTACATCCATCAATTTATATTAGAAATGTAATATTTTATTGGGGTGCAATCAATTTCTCTTCAACTTGTGCCATTTTCATCTGATTCATATACTGTCAACTTGTTTACATTTATCAGCTCATCAATATCTCAAAATGGAGAATAATACAGTTTTATTCACTATTTCGTCAACGTACCTGTGAGCATTGCCCCCTTAGGAATTTTAGCGCCAAGATCTATATATTGTTGAGGATTCTTCAGAAAATTTACAAATTCCATAATTTCTATTTTTGCTTCTTCACACCCAGCAACATCTCTGAAACCCAATCAATCAATAATAGTAAAAATAACTATTTTTGCAAAAAATATAATGTATCTGATAAAGAACCAAAGGTGTATTTTATTTCATCTAAGACAAATCTTTCTACTCAGACGTTCCTAGGTACAAGTATCTTAGATTTTCAATATCATTATTATTCGGGTTTAAAGGACTTCGATTTTTGGAAGTTTTTCCTGACGTTTCGCTGGCGTGAGTGGCTAACTTCTTCAGAGGTTTATACATCCTGAGTTAATCTCCGATAACTGGATATTACAGTTGCGTAAAGCGTATTTATGTTGACTCAGGTAGTTTGGTGTGCTAATACCTGTACCTGGATTAGGTCGACGACCTTTAAACCCGAAAAATAGTGACACTGAAAACCTCAGCCTGGAAAGCCTTAACCATTTTATCCTAGATTTCAAAACCATTTTCATAGCCACTTGCAAATAAAGAATGGATTTTTTACCCATCTAGAAATACACACAATTTATATGTAAAACTTACTCACATCATGTAAGTCTGTCAGCATACAAAATATGTGTTAATGGTTGGACTCATCTTATATAAGTTTTACATACAATGTCACACATAAAGTCCGCATCAAATGGGATTTTTTTTTGTTCATCTCTTCAAGCAACTTTTGATATCTCCATTAGGTTGTGCTTTAAAAATGACATGCATATGACCGATCAACTGATTTTTCTTCCCTGTTCAGAAAAGCAGTTATTGCTCGAAATTTCGAAAATCGGTAAAGAGAAAAGATGAATGTTTTTTCATTTTTTTTACCCATATACCAATTTTTAGCTCTCTAGTACAAATTTAGTTTTTTTTTAGTTTTTCGAAAATTTGACATTTGCCGATTTCTCAAATTTAGCCAAACCTCAACAAAGTTAGTGCTTTATGGCTAACTTATCTTTCCAACGCATTTTTATTACCAATTGCAATTCTAAATACAACTTATTTCGTAAAAATTTAAAACAACAGAAAAAATTATGCCAAAAATGATGCAAAGTTGATACAGTGTTTAAAAACAGATAAATATTTCACTTTATTTCTACTTTTTGCGAAATAGCTTGATACATAAGCATAATTAAAAAACAATATCAATGAAAAGTCAATAATTTATCCCTTACTGCACTTTGCAAACAGTTAAACTTTGATTTACTAATTACGAAAAATTACAACGCAATTAAACTAAGGGAAGGAATTATACGAAAGTAATTTCACATTTACTAAATATGTTTTATGAGGTATGAATGAACAAAATTACTTCAGAAATCAATTTAGATTTTGTTGCCTAGAAAACTAAACCGTAAAAAATTCTNATTTAGAATTGAAATTGGTAATAAAAATGCGTTGGAAAGATAAGTTAGGCATAAAGCACTAGCTTTGTTGAGGTTTGGCTAAATTTGAGAAATCGAACCAATTCAAGTTTATTCAAGTAAAACGAATTCTTAGATCTCAAATTACCTGAATTTAACTCCAATATCATTTGAATTTATGAGTTTAGCTGTACTTTCCATTACTCCCCCAAAGAGGCCGCCTCCCCTCTTTCCTCTTTTTCCACCCATCATTTCTGCTGACCTTCTCATCATGTAGATGAGAAATCCAATGACGAGGAGAGTTGGAAGCAATCCTGAGAGACTAGCCGCTTCTATCTCAGTCTTGTAAATTACAGGTACAAAATTAGCAGGCTCCAAGTTCATTTCTACCTGCGCATTTTCAAGGTTTCTTTCAAAGGAATCTACACTCCCGATATTGAACCAAATGACATTCTGAAAAACATTCTTGAGGAATTTGTAGAAGTAAATAGTTAGAAACTTACAGCTCCTTCTACTGTATTACCAGGTAAAAGTTTCACCCGAACCCACTTCTTGTTCACAACTTCTAATTTATCAACAACTCCTCTTTGTAAATAGCTGAAATGATTTTAATAACAATTATTATTGCCGTGTCTACTTCTTGGATTCAAACTTACTTATGTACAAATTCCTTCCAGCCTATTTCTTTGTATCCCATTTCCCACATCGTAACAGTTGCTAGAAATGCTACAGCTGCTGCAGCTCCCAGTACGTACCATTTGTCTCTCTCATTATCTCCAAAAGGTTTACCACCGCTACCTCTGAATAGAAATCAAATGAATTTTAAGAATCATGATGGGAGATGGGAGATCATTATGAAAAATGAGAAACTTTCTTTGTATTTGTAACTAATGTTACTGCAGTTTCGTCCTATAAGTACATTTTCAAACGAGTTTATTGTATTCCATTGAAAATGTCCTATATTTATTTTATCTGAACTTTGGGATCAATTAGCCGTATATTGTTTAGAAAAATGACCATCGATATTTCCCGATTCCGGAGAGGGAACCTGAAAATCGGCTACCAAGCCCAAGAAAGGCAGCAGGCGCGCAAAGGAGGATTACAAATAAGGCAGCAGGCGCACGTGTTAATAAAAAAATTCTTTTTTCAAATGTAGTAATACATGTAAAGTGTGTTCGAATTATATCAAAGAGTTACGTACAGCGCCATCTGCACGCGAATGTCGATAATTCTGTCAAATACACATCCCGAGCTTGAGAGTTACGAACAAACTGACAAGCAAACAAACATACTTACATACAGGTGAATCTACTAAAAGTATGTTAATAAGATAATTTACTAAGAGTAACACATTCATTAAATTTTTCATTTTATTATTCAATAATTTCCTGAAGGGAGTAATAGGTTATCTCTAGTAGGAAAGACTTTAGTGTAATTTTGAAGCTGTGGATAGTACTAGAGTTTTTCAGTTCAAGTGGTAGCAGATTAAATAATCTGAGCTCTATTACATTGCGGGAATTGTAAGTCAGTGCATTTTTACAATATGGCATATGAAAGTATGTCTTGCACCTGGTATCAATAAAATGCACATTTTCATTTCTTATGAAACATACCGAAGACGTGATTCAACTTGATCATAATACAGCATAATCAGTTGTTTCTGGTCTAAAATATTACGAAGGTTTATCAGAAGATAATTCATGGAGTTCAATTTTGATACAACTGTTCCACAATTAGTTTTCCAGCTGAGAAATTCATCCAAGTGTACACCTAAAAACTTCACCGTAGGGCACGGAGAAATTTCATCATGTTCAATTCTCAAGTTGAAACTGGCTATTTCTTTTTGTCTAGCATGAAATCATATCAAACGTTTTTTTTGTTTATTCAAATGTAGGGAATTTTCTTTGAACCAGGTGTTTATTTTTTGCAGGATTAAGTTACCTTTGGTTTGTAGATTTTGATATATTTTATCTGATATAACCAGTGATGTGTCATCTGCATATGACAAATACAAGTGGTAAAAAACATAGAAAGTTTCATTTTTTATTTTTAGAATGAAGTATAATGACATGTTCGCTACCATCCAAACATAATTCAACTCTTGCAAATACTTTCTACAAAGTCAAACTTTACCAGGTACAAGCTGCATTGAGGAAAAAAGTTTTCTGGTTCTGTTCAAGCTTAAACAAGTAAACATTTCACGGAATAATAGTTATATAAATTATTCAAAACAATCTGCAACTCAACAATAATTACCATAAAAGAATGTGAACAAAACTAACGAAAAAACCTTATATCTACAATACAAACCTTGTAGTGAAGCAATCTTTACGTTAAGAATAAAATTATTAAGGAAAGGCGATGACATCTCCTCTTATGATGACACAATCTATGGGACCTGACAGCCTTGAGTAGCTTCGTTGATTTTTGACATTCAAAGATTAAGTTCTCTGTCGATCCCATAGATGGCGTCTTCGTGAGGGGAAATGTCATCGCCCTTCTCCACTAAGGCTTGTCCTCTTGGTACCACTGATGATTATTCATTTATAAGGTAGGCAAGCCTAATATACAAAAAAATTACAAATTTATAAATATCTTACAACATCATTGAACTATGTAAATATAATGAACATTTGAAAGTACATTCAATGGAAAACAAAATACACATACATATTTATTGATTGTTAGGTTAGACTGTTAGATCATATTAAAGAAACACCAACAAAAAAATATCACAATGAGCTGTCACTAATATACTTCTTCAATGACGACTTAAATTGATTTAAATATATTACTGGAGTTTTTTCCCAACACCAAATCGTTATTTTTAACACATCGACACATGTTTCGATCACCAAGTGATCATCTTCAAAGAGGAAGATTAAAACACAACGACAACTCGAGGTGTTAAAAACGATTTGGTGTTGGGAAAAAACTGCAGTAATATTCATCACTACACCAAAGGTTCCAAACAGTGCATCATAAAACTCTATTTTGGTTAGAGTGTCTGAATAATTTGAAGAGGTATCTCATTTTCATTATAATGAAAATTTGATAGGATTCATTGACCAGTCTCAATTCTCAAGTCATAAGTGATAAGTTGTGAGAAATTAAACCTTGATTTTCAATGGGAACATTCATGTACAGCTTAGCAAAATTCAACTTGAGGGTGAAATTCGCACACCACTGCACTTGCAGTAGATACAGGGCACAAGTACAGCCAGAGGAGAAAGTAAGATAAATTTGATGTTATTTGTACTGTGGTAGTGCAATCTGTATTTTGGTATGGTGTTTGTGTCAAACAGAGAAATTATTGCAAATTCATACATTTTATGCAGCAAGAGGCACATGCGGGTGATCCTATAAAATATTTAAACAAAGTTCAAGAACGATGTAAGTAAGTTAGCGACATAAGATTCTGCACCAGAAAATGGCGCAAATGCATCATTTACAAGATTCCGAAATAGAAAAGGAACAAGTTCAAAGACAAACTTTGATATAATTAATCTCACTTTTTTCATAAAATTTCATTTTTGCATAAACAAGATATTAAAATTGCACATAGAACAAGTAATATTTTGGGAAAGTTAGTTGAAAAGAATAAAGACAAAACATTCAAATTCGAGAAATCAGGAATATATTAATTAAATTGTGGAACTTGTCCTCAGGTATAAATTGGTCAAACTTGCAGAAGATTTTTGAATCACATCCAAGAACATCATATGAGCTATGTAAATGAGAAAACAGGTTCAAGTAATTCAAATCATCTTCTAGAAGAAAATCATATCTTGAACCTAGATTTTGAAATTTTACGCATAGAAAATAAAGGTTTAAAGCTAAATTATCTGGATTCAATTGAAAATGTGAATGAAATCGATAAACAATTACAAGGATAAAACATAATTTATACAACACATACCCTTGAAAAAGCTTGGAGTGATGACACAAATGAAGATCTTTTGAAACCAACCTCTGAAGAGCAAAAGCTGATTATTATTAATGCTAGCAGTGAGCATGCTTTTGTTCCACAACCCTAATTATTGTTCAAATCTCAAACAAGAATTGGTGATTAGAACAATGAGATAAATTGATGTAATTATAAAAAACGGCTTAAGAAAAAGCTTATTTCTAATTTGAAGAAGAAGAGTGTTCTCGTAACAGATAATGTAGAAAGCAAAAAGTATCCAACTTTTGGCAGTGGGAAAGAATGGCTTGTAAAACACAATTTTCTTTTTGCAAATGCTATATCAAAAGTGAACACTTATGTAGTCTTACAAGATTGAATAAACCAAAATTTAAAATATACGAAATTGATAAAATACTTAGTGACAGTGAACATGATATTTATAATACTGCCATCTTATAACAAGGATTTGAACCCAATAGAACTTGTTTAGGCCTCTCTGAAGCACATATTGCTGAAATGCCGATTTTGACCTTAAAAAAGTATAATCATATGCAAATGAATTCTTTAAAACTTACTCTACACGTAAATGGAAATCACAAATACAAAAAAAGCATCGAGTTGTATCAGGTATTTATGGAAGATATTGTAATCAATTTAAATGAAAGTGATGTATCTGTCTGATTTAAATACTATTGACTGGGATAGTGGTAGTAGAACATACTAGAAATTTTATTAGAATTAAGTATATAACTTGAAACACAAAATATTTTGAATTTTATTAAAAACTTGCAATCACACTTGATTATATGCATTCAATTCTAATAATTTTAACATATTTATCTTCTATTGAACTCTTACTGATATCTTTCAAATTTAAAAATGTATGCGTCATATTGTACTTAATAACAACTTTGTCTATACTACTCTAACGTCCAACTACTTTCTCCCTCCATTTTTTTAAAGGACAAAATACAAGCAATACCTGTGGAAAAGTAGCGATTCGCATTGGATTTGAATCGCTCCATCTGTTCATCTAGGCTTGATTCTTACCCGTAAGATGAAATTTGTTAGGTTATACACCTCGTAAGTTTTCACTCCTGACATTCAGAAAGGAATTTTGATTAAGATCTTGTGACTTAAAACTCATGACTTACGGTGGCTTTCTAATACATCAAGGGAACCTTCGTGAGAATTGAGACAAGTCTTCAACAATTTCTGAGTGATTTAATTGTAAAACTCTACAAATAGTATGACAATGTTGAATGCTATAAACTGAATATGTAATATTATATAGCTGCTCAAAAACACCCGAACTAACCAACCGTTCAATTATTCGAAAGTTAAATAAATATTTATAAATCTGTCTTTTAGAAAAAACATTGGAGCAAAAGTATGTGTAGCACTGTTTTACTTGAAGTTTGAACCATACTGCTTTCAAACTTTGTTTCTAGTGACACTGTTTTGCATTGAATTAACTCGTGAATCCATTATATATTTTAGATAATTCGATAAAATTCAAATCTACATTCCGATGAAACTCTATTTTGGTTAGAGTGTCTGAATAATTTACCAAAATTATTATTAAAAAAACAAAAGATTCCCTCAGTCTTTATCTTCTATATTTAATTTTAGCAGTTGAATATGAGGCCTTCAATTTTTCACGTCTTCTTTATTTTCTCAAATAGTTAATTTACTGAATGTAAACTTTCATAGACGGAGATGACTGTGTCAAAGTTTCTTTTCGTTTTTTTTTGTCCGTGGTCTGCAGAGTTTTATGCCTGACATTTTGTCTACTACTGCGGTAGTCCAAGCAACTAGGTAACGGCCCAAGTGCTTGAGTTGTTCTCAACGCAGAAACTACAATGCTGCAATTTGTCAAGACAACACCATGTATCTGTGAATTTTTGCTGAGGAACTCAACAACGCAAAGAATGTCTTCAACGGGCCATACGTTCCAGGAGGGACAACACCAAAGTAACCACACTGGCAACCCAGCTAAGCTCATCCAGAAAAAAACTTGCCTTCCCTATTTTACAAATGTTATAGACCAGATTGGGAGAATTTAGAGAAACAATGTCAGCTAAGGGCCCCAAAGAGCCTTACCACTATCCAAGAATATAGAGAGAGGCAATATTAATTCAGAAACACAGGAATAATTTCAATGGAAATGAAGAGGCCATGAACATTAATAAAAACTGACTACCTGTCCTTAATTGACACAATTCATTTACTGTATGTAAAGTAGAAAAGAATTCGCAATTGGTGACAAAGTAATGACTTTTTTGAAAATTTTATTGGTAGGATGCATAACAAATATACAATAAACAATCATTTTTCATTGGGCAATTATCATTCATTCCATTAAAAAAATTAACTTGTAATGATACAGCTGACACATGAAAAATCTCAAAATGAAAATTAAAAATGACGTTAGTGGGGCATATCCATCAAAGATGGCTTTTGGATAGGTCAGAGGTAAGGACGCAAGGCAGAAAATTGAAAATTTCCAATTTACCTTGCATTACTTTTCCTTACCAATGTTACATTACCTAATACAGGTATGTTAGTTCAATTGTTGAACTATGTTTACTCATTGTGGACGTGTTATAATGAGTTTTTCATAAATTCATAAACTGGTTGTAACCCCCTACTGAATGGCAACCTCCAGAAGTAAACACTTGTGCGAGCTAACGATTAATGAGGTTTCACATTTTAACGTACGACACCTAGCACAGATCCTCGCATTATCAAAAACTATGTGTTATAAAAGAAAACAGCAATATTTACCCCCTGCCTGTTCCTCCAAAAAGTCCAAAAGACCATTGTTCGTAAGGTTTCGAACCACTAGGACCCGTAGAACTTGGAGGAGGTGGTTTAGGTGCTTCTTTGGGTTGTTCCGGTTTTGTATCTTTTGCAGCTTTTCCTTCTTTCACAGGTTCTTTCAAATTCTTTGCACCACCTGGTTTGAAATACTTTTCGAACCCTTTAGGTGGTTTTTCACAAAATATCCTGAATTCGTTCAGTACTGCTTGTTTCAATGAAAAGTTTATCTGTGAAAAATATTGATGAAATATTGCACAAGTGAAAAGTAGTTTTCAATACCTGTGAAGTATGTACATTACACTGCTTGAATGTTTTCCACACTAAATTTTCAATTTTCCTACAACTATTAAAGAGACGATATGCCATTATGCTGTATAAATCTCAAATCATTTGCTGGAGTTTTCTATAAGTCAAAATAAAATCAAATCACATAACTTTATTCTATACACAACCTCACTTTTCGGATTTAGGTTCACTCGATTTGACATATTTGACAACTGAATCAGAAGAGACGAGTTCTTAAATTCACCGATTAGTCCACCGATTGATCCAATAGATTCATCTATCGGTCCATTCTTTTATTTCAACATACTATCAGAAATTTTTTGAATTGAATTTATGAACTCGCCTAGTTTTTTTAGGCAAGTTTTGTTGGCTTTAATCTTACTCTAGATTATAGACATAATATTGACTGGCCGTGACGTCACTTTTACATATATTTCACCTGCGAATCACACAACTTCTTGGCCACTGCGTCACATCACATGTGACAAATCAATTTTCAAAATTTTCACAACACGTAAAACTTCAAAACGTCGTATAAATGTGAATACGGGTTTTATATAAAAATATAATTGTATCTAATTCTATTTATGTGTAGTTCGCCGATTAATACCCTCCACAATAAATTTCACCATCATGATTATACATTTCTTTACCATGTGAAACATTGAATCTTAATGAACTATATTAACATTAAAGAGAACAAAATTCGGGTCAGTAGGCCGTAGAATTTGAAGTTCGAAACGTTCCGTCTACTATTGCGGCCAAACATGAAGTAATCGATGTACATCGACGACAAAATGAACAATTGATGGAATCCATCAATTGAAAGCCGGTAATAAAAAACAGTCCAATTGAATTCCCATTACATCGGTGAATTAACCGATGAAAAAGGAACATACGGAAAATGTGCATCAGTTTTTACCAATAAAAAGTCATAGGATTTCTTTCATGTCATCTGTCAATCATAAAATCTGGTAAATTTTGAAAAGTAGGAAATGAATTTTTGACAACAAAAATATATTTGATTGAAAAATTACCTTTGTTTCCACCGCAATTTGTTCTTGTATTAATGTAGTAAATGAAAATCACACTATTGGAAAACTTGAGATTACTAGTTAACTTTAGAGGACGTTTATAAATGATCAAGTAGTGGATTGGAATATACATAATGAAAATGGTTCAAAACTAGGAGAGAGGATTGCTACATAAGTGAGTGAAGGGATATAATGGATTGATCAGTCACAATTCTTATTTTAATGTTAATTCAGATTACATATGTCCTTCAAACAATAAAAAAACAGGTATGTCCTAATATTTTTTCGGACAATACTTTGCACCAAATGATCTAGTTGAACAGAAAAAGTAGGTGTGGATCAATAGATTCTTTCATGTTTCCAAAAAAAAAGATAGGTAAGTCCAAGGAAAAAATTTCATTTTTTGAGTTTCAAAAGAAAGTGATTTACCAACTTTAATTTCTTAAAAACATTCACATGAATTAGTCCTTCACCATTTGTTGGCCTATCAAATGTTTAGTACATCTATTCATTTTCTCTGGTGAGTTCTTCTTCATGTTAACTATTTTTTTCTGTTTGGTGAAATTGACTTTTTACATTTTTAACTTGCAGCCTTATATCAGAAGACAAACTAATGAATGACTTATCAGTAGAAACGGATGGTAAACTAGACTGATGCGTTTCTTTCGTTGGTTTCAAGTGGATTTGTATATCCCATTGTCTCTTACTTCGGAATTGTTTATTTCTAGTGTCCTTAGATTTCAGTTTTTTATGTTCTTCCAAAATGTCGATCACCCCTGGTCGTATATCTCCTCGTTCTGTAAACAACCCTATAGCACTCAACATTTTTTCATCAACTTTTGTCATATCTTTCCCATTCAGTTTCAATGGGTTTGACTTTTCATAAATGGAGCGTTTTAATGTTTCTTCGGCTTTATCAAAAGTTTTGGTACCATACTGAGATTTTTGACTCATTTTTTCAAATTCAACATCGTCAAAAATTATGCTATCAGTATCCGATTCATCTTCATGATTTTGAAATATTTTATTTTCAAATATTTTCTGGCTGCCGATTTTTTCTTTGGATTTTGATATCTTGTCAAACATATTTTTAACTTTGATAGGTGTATTAGGTCTTGAAGGGAAAGGAATATTTGGGTCATTGCTTTGAAAATAGTCTCTTTCGTTATTTTTGACAGACGATATTGTTTCCAAATCCAAATTTTTCTTATCTTTTTGTCGAGCATATTCTATTAAGTTTATTTGTGGTTGTATATTCACTATATTAAAACAGGTTTTTACCAGGTTCCCTTTTTTTAAATTTTTCAGTTTATCCAACTTGAGAAAATTATTCAAAATATCTTCTAAAAGATGTTCTTTTAAAGGATCGAGAAAATTATCTTGACCAATTTCATTTCTGGATTGCATTCCATCTGTTTCAGACAACGATGAGCAGCCTTCATTCCAAGTTTCAGGTTGTTCCTTCTCTTGGATAACATTCAGTACATCAGTCTCCAATTTATTTTTCAGGGTAAATTGATTTTCATCATAATTTTTACTATTCAAAGGAGGGACAATTGTATTAAATTTTGAACTTTTCTCTGTTTCAAGTAACGTTGAATGTTCTTCACTATCAGACAATAACTTTCGGTAATTTGATCGTTGGTGGCTTTTTGGAGGTTCAGAATATTTCAAAATAACCGAGAACAATGAAAAATAGTTGGGAATGTCAGGAAAAATAAATGGTACTTCATTTCTTCCGGAGTCATTGTTCTCAAAGTATTCCTTTAATTTTTGATTCATTGATTGATGCAATCGATTCACATAATCCAAAGCCTCAATGTAGGTCTTTCTACTGTCTTCAGAGAAACTTTGTAAACCAGTACTAAACTGAGTATCTTGGTCAAAAGGTGTATGTTTCCAAAAGGTACAATCAGTCTGTGTGTTTGAATGCTTCTTCCTTGAGACATAATTCCTTTCTGCTATTAAATGGGAATAAGTTCTAGATCTTGCTACAGTGCGAATCACAGCCTTTTTTTTCGGCTGCATGTTTGGCTCATGCTGAAATTTTTCATACAAATTCTATATTTTCATACTTGTCAAATGTCATGAAGGCGATCATCAAAAATGTCAAGATGTATATCTAACTTGATTATCTAGCAGTTTACCCTTTCTACAACTTTATAAGGTTCTTCAAAACTTTTTCCTGATTGTGGAAGGTGAAAACTCTCAAAACCTCACTAGAAAACTGATTTTCTTTAAAAAATCACTTATATTTAATACTCCAATCGCAAAGGCCTGCCGGAAAAACTACTTTTTTGAGTATTACCACGACAGACATTGGATCCAATGTACGTGCAAGTTTTTTCATTAATAAATTAATGCAGACAGATGGTCACTGATTTCGAAATATCACTCCTATGAGTGCAGGACAGACTTCATGAAGACAGGTTTGCCGTCAGATACTCGACTGAGTATCACATAGCAATTCTCTTTTAGATAAACATCTTGTTTCTCTAAGAGGAAACTTGCACAAATGTCTGCCGGATATAATCCGGATATATTCAGGAAAATAATTGTTTTTCGGCAGACATTTGTAGAATCCTACTGTATAGGTTTCATTTTCTTGACCTATGTATATCTCTCCTCGACACAGTCATGGGACCAAAGAGTAGGCTTTCACGCCTGGAGATAACCGTTTCAAATCTATATTATGGGTTTGTTAGTCATAATCTGTAAGTTCTTATGCCTGATACTACCAAGTATCTGCTGTGAAGATATCTAGAGCACTAATCGTTACCTCATCATCTGTAATAATGTGTACCGCAATCGTAGATGAAACGCCTTCCATAAAAACCTGCAGGCCACAGCCAAAAACCCGAAAATCAGCTTCTCTGTTGAAGGCTTTGTTCAAAAGATTACCTCGTAGTTGAATGTATGAAGAAGATTTCGCATCAGCGTATATAAAAAATAAATTGAGTCATCAGACGACCATTCTTGTGGGTATAGTTCTCATTTTGACGCCTGATCGCCCGACTGATTTCCGTAATATTATATTGCTTGCTGAATAGCAATGTTCTTCATGGTATTGGCCATTAAAGTCATTTTCTGGCAAGTATTTGTCAGATTCTACCTACTATTCAGAAAATCTGAAAGAAATGTTTGAAATTTTCATCTGAAATATTAATTTCCTTGAACAATAGATGTCACATACTCAACAAAGAGAGATTTTAATGCAAATATTCACATTTTTGTCGAGTACAACTGATCAACTTCAACAGAAAACAGATCTTTCAATACTACTGAGTTTTTTTTTATATTAATACAAAATCGCACGAACATCTTGATGGAAGATAACAATTAAGACTCAACTCAACAGATGTGCAGGTTTGTTGTAACGATTAACTTTAGGAGCCAACACCTCAGTCTTTCGTTTCAAATATACAGGAACATAATCAACATCATCATCGTCTTCTTCTTGCTTACTTCCTGATTCCAAAGGAACTAATGGTATATCGTTTGAGGATTTCTTTGGTCTCAGGTGCAACCGTTCTTCTTTAGCTGAAATATAGAAGATGAAAATATGAGGAATTACAATTATTTCTTATTTCTGCCCGTCAATAAATGTTGCCATGTAAGTATTAACATTATCTAACGGTGTATCATTTTCTAAGTTAATGATATCTTGTATGAGAGTTTTTACTAACGTTGACATGGATTATTTTGGGCCAAACTTGGTGACCGTTGGAAGAAAAAAAAAGGGGTGTGGTGTCCTATTCATTTTCCTTTCAGCAAGTGCAGTTCATTCAGAAATTGCATCTTCCTTGACCACAGATTCATTGCAAAAATATGGTATTCTGAGAAAATTAATTATGACAATAGGACAAATCTCAGAGATGCTGCTGAGGAATTGCGACGATCAGTCATCGTCTATGGACAATCACTGAACGAAAAAACTCTAGCTACCTTGTTCACAGAAGCGAAAACTAATCGTTAATTCAAAACCAATTACCCACGTATCAATCGATCCAGGAGATGCTGAACCTCTCACTCCGAATCATTTTCTTGTAGGGTACGCACACATGGAAGGTCCACCTGGAGATTATGAATCGGGAAAATATTTGAGAACAGGGTGGAAAAAGTCACAAATGCTTGCTAACACCTTTTGGTAAGGATAGCTTGAAGAATATTATCTATGTTGAACTACCATTTTGACTTCATGAAAATGAAGAAATGAGCTGAAGAATGGGATTTTTTTACTGGGGGGAAGAATGTTTCTCCTTGTTCAATTTAAATATCTTCAAATACCCTTTGTATATAAGTTTCATTTTCATTAGTTTGTTATGTATTTTTTTACTCAGTTGTTCTCAAGGTAATTTTTTATTTGATTGTTAAAGAATTGTCATACATTTGAAATAGAAACGTTCAATGAATAAAAAAACGTGCTTTATTGGGGTTTATAGAAGCATCTTTAAGTAACAAGCAACTTGTTTGAAATGGTTACAAAAAAATTCAAATTTTGGTTCAACTTATTTTCTCAAGTTCATTACACGGAGCGACCCAAAATGTTATAATTTGATAAGGTCCCCATTAATTAAAAGAAACATGGTAAACTACACTTTTTTGCTGCTTAGGAGCCGTCTAAGTTTTCTGAAGATTCTGCAATCTCTATCTTTAATGACAACCCATTACAACAATCTTGTTTCCTGTGCTATAAGTCCTTATTTTCTTGACATAATTTTGGATATCCATAAATTCCTTGAATCCTATGCCTCAAATTCATTATAAGACATGAAGAGCTGTTTCTATCACTTTGTTGCATAACTTGCAATTGAGGATTTTGTTACATACAGCCTCATTTTGTTTAGGGGTCCTCCAAATAGACAATGTCCAGTGAGTAGTCCTGTAATTGTTCTAAGTCACTCTGTTCTAGTGAAGTAGTTCTTCAGTTACTTGTCAGACAGTCTCACAAGTCATAACTTCTAGACTACTGGGTGTATCAAAATAAGATTTAGTATCGGTAAATGGTATGTGAAAAATAGGTTTCACTAAAAATGACCCCGGTCCTAAATTTTTGAATGGAACACCCTGTATATTGTAACATTTTTTTTATTTCTGAGACAATTTTGGATCAGAATGTGATAGTTTCGAAAGTTTTTACGCCTACTTAATTTTTTCAGAGTCACTTTTGAAATATCATCTAGATAGGTAAACTAATCTAAGGACTTCAGGTTATATCAGAAAATTACAATGGCGGAGTTTTAGTGACTAGTATGTTATCTTGCTGATTTATCGATTGATTTCTCCTAAAGAAACCGTTTTGTCAACCTCAACCAAAGCAAGAACGTTATCTCAGCCTCCTCATTTATGATGAACCTCTCTACCTCTCGATTTCCCTCTTACCTAAGACGATTCTCAACAAATGGAAAAATACTGATGGGATGGACGTTGCCGATCGGAATGTCTCTGAGCATACAACTCAGCAATGTCTCTGAGCATACAACTCAGCAACATTTATTGAATTTCTGTGGCATTCTCCAAACAATAACAACATATCAACTTTTTCACTTCGAGTATACATTATTTTGACGAAAAATTAAACTAAAATTCACCCTTTACCTTCTGTTCATGAAGCTTATGTCACTGTCATAACCTAAGTGAGTGTTTTGTTCTTCAAAGAAGGCTTGATGGAAATAACTGCAAAATATTATGCATCATGCTCATGCCTGTCCATGGCACGCTTAACACAATAGTTAGACACGCAAATGTAATTTTGCCAACTTGTCTCATTCATATCTAACATACTAGTCACTAAAACTTCGCGATTGTGATTTTCTTATATCACCTGAGGTCTTAGATAAGTTTACATCTGATCATGGCCACTTGGATGCAATTTCAAAGTGACTCTGAAAAATTTAATAGGTGTAAAAACTTTCTGAAATGTCACATTCTGATCCAGAGTTTTCGGTGAAACCGGAATTGACCGGAATGTAAAAAATATGTAAAAACTCCCTTCTTTACATACAATTCACCTATACCAAATCTCATTTTGATACACCTAATAGTCTAGAAGTTGTGACTTGTCTAATAGATTCGTTGACAGCCCGTATTCTGGTTACTTTAGTCAGTGTTCTAATTTTTTTTTTTCATTAACCAGCTGTCGCTCCTTTGAATAAATACAACCCTCAGAAGACGATTCTTGTGCGAACTAAGGATTAACGAGTTCTTACCTTTCAAGGTGCGATTCCTGGCATGGTTTTGTTGACTGTTTTTTATATAGGTGTCTTATACAGGGTGGAACTGAATAAGAGTAAAACATTTAAGGAGGTGATTCCTCATCGAAAAAAAGATAGAATCTTTCATATAAAGAAACTTCACTGGAGCA